CGCCGAGAACCCTGCGTACGACAATATGCAGCAGTACGGCGCCCAGCCCACCTATCAGTCACCTTATGGACAGGCATACTCACAACCTCAGCGGCCACAGCTGATGTACCCGCCACAAGATCAAATGGGGGCACCGGCGGAACGCTATATGCAACTGCAGCAGCGGCAGATTTCCGCTAACGGTAGGAGTGCCGCCATCATGCAGATTTCCAGCAACGAGATGCTGCCACTTAGGGAGGTGTCACCGCCATTGATGTCGCAAAACTTGGGAGGCCAGATGCAGACCATCCGTCCCCTCCAAAAGGCGGACTCACTCGTTTTTCAGTGCTTGTGCGGACATGACCGTGGCGAGAGAAAGTCATCAACCACCACTACCACCACTACCAATACAAACACGTCGTCTACCACGTCCCCGACTAGCACCAGCACCAAGACAACTAGGACAAGTAACAGCAGCCGTAAGAAGGGAAGGAGAAGCAGCACCAGCACTACAACTACGAAGAGCGGAAGCAAAAAGAAGGGAAATAAAAGTGGTACCAGCAGCACCAAGACTAACCAGAAGAATAGCAGAAATAAAACCAGTACCAGCAGCACCAGCACCAAGACTAGCCAGACGAAGAACGGAAATAAAAGCGGTACCAGTAGCACATCTACCAAGACTAGCCAGACGAAGAACGGAAATAAAAGCAGTACCAGTAGCACAACTACCAAGACTAGCCAGAAAAATAAAGAAAATAGAAGTAGTTCCAGCAGTTCTAGCAGCAGCAGCAGTACCACTAGTACAAGCACGCAATCGACGCTCAAGAAGAACGAGTGCAAGTCTGGTTTTGTACAAGTGCAGATACGTTGTGACAAGTGCAAGCAGCGTAAAACGTACCTGGTCTGCAGGGTATGCTATAGCCGTCACAAGATAACAACTTGCAAGGATTGCAAGGGCACGGCCACCACGGAGTACATTCGGTATCCCTCGCAAAACGACCCCGTTCGTATGGCTGGCCGAATCGTACCATGCAGACCAGCACTACCATGTCCACCTCCGGAAAGCTACCAGCTGCAGCAGCAGCAGCTGCAGCCGTACGGTGAAGACGACATGCTTCGAGCTCTTTCCAACGCGAACGCTGCCTTGATAGTGTGTTGTAGCAGCAAGACAATGCTTCCTGCGAATAATGCAGGCGTTTATCGGGATCCTGGCGCAGCATATGGTCATGGGCCCGTGACGACCAACTTCGTGCTAGGGATTGTGAACGCAAGCGATGTCAATGAGAGTTCCAGCACTTCCTCCTCGACAACCACGACAACTTCGAGCTCACGCACTCCGGTCAAGTCAAGGCGCAAGAGCCGAACGCATTCCCGTGACAAAACACGCACGCGCTAATCCCACGCATATAGAGCCGGACTATGTAGTGCTCACTTGGCGCCGCCTTCGCATCTTGCTGCGCACTGTCCACCTTCAAGATTTCTATAATGGGAACGATTGCTTAATGTCTGTAAGCATCTAACCTATGTGTGAAATTAAGTGGTGACTTCTGACGGAAACGTGTGTTGCTTCTTCAAAGCTATGAAAAATAAATATCAAAACGAAACAAGGAAACGCAGACATAGCTGCGTAGTGTTCAATCTGCTTTGAGAGAGTATATTACCTTATATCGTTTGCGAGTGGAGCACTCACTTAGCAGGTAGCGCTGACGTAAGCCTATAGATAGCTTTCGGAAGGAAACGGCATATCAATTTTACCACTTTTCTTTGGTATGCGTATGCAATATACAATCATGTGGACAGTTGTCTACTTTCAGGGTGAATAATATCGCTAGGCCTCGCACATAAGCTGAGGTGTGTGCAGAAGACTTGGCTCCAGACGGGCTTGCGTGCCCCGTTCTTACAAAGCGTTGATAGCTGCAGATTAGATAGAGAGACCACTAATATAGAGGTCATGTGCACGTCATCAGACCAAAAGTCTGTTCTGACTGCGCCGACGAAGAAGAGACCTGATTGATATTGACACAATTTTGAGGCATTGCAAAAAGGGCATTTTTGTTTCCTTGGCATGTAGTGTTAAAGCTTTCCACATACCGGATGTCGCGTCGTTGCGAAGCATAGCAGCTAATGGTATGACCGCCACAAAGCCTATTAAGAGTTGAACCGAGAATATTTTTGCGAAATAAGAAGGTCTGATGAAAAGGAAAATGGTAGCAGAAAACCTGGGAGCAGGAAGAAGCAGCTTTGCTTTTTGGGAGCTTTCTGCGTATTTACTTGTATATTCATGCTTCAACTGAATGGATGACCATTTTTTATTCTCGTTAATTTATAATAGGCAAGTTTTCAATATGTGCGCATCTTATATATGTGCAGCAATTACACTATCACACTGTTCGCCGTCGCTACTATACAAGGCCAGATGATTATAGCTTTGCTGGCAGTCCCATCGAAGTGTTTTTCAACAAAGCTTTGAGTTCTCAGATATGTTCATATGCATAGACACGGCCCGTGAAATCCAACGCACGGTGATAAAAGATACGCCGGTCAATGGCAGTTAGCTTGAAAAAAAAAAGAATTTTTTTAACCGTACCGCAGTTGCTTGTTTTGCTGCGTTTCGCATACATTTATCCAGGGTATTTTCGAGCATTACTGCGATGAGGACACGAAATTACAGTGCTATCATCGAGCCAGGAGAGCTTGGCTGCGGCTCTCGGAAGAAAACCTCCTTCATTGACGACGTCATTCGCAGATCCGACAAGCCCGGCCCGGAGCCCGGAAACTCATCGTCTCGCGACACGAGGAGGAGCGACAAGGATAGTGTCAAGAGTGATGAGACGGGTCCACGGATTGTAAAGTCACAGAGCAAAATCATCTCGAGCAGTTCAAGCAGTACGAGCAGTACGAGCACTACGACCACGGAGAGACGAAATCGCCGAAAGTCCCATCGCAAACACCATCCTCGCAACAGCGGGCCCTGCTGCTGCCCGATGTACGAGGTGGAGCTGATCAAGAGAACCGGAGCGGAAGCCCTACGAGAAAAACAGGGACATCTACCTGGTATCCAGCCTGGCATGCAGATCGTCAACACTGAGACGGTCGCCAAGCGTCTCTACATGTACAACAATGGCACCAGACTTCCCGAAGGCATACAGATGAGTCCTCCGGGCGAACTTATCGAAAACCAGGGCGTTTCGGCAGAGAACAGTGCATACGACAACATGCAGCCGTGCGGGGCCCAGCCCATTTATCAGACACCTTATGAATGGCCATACACACAACCTCAGCGGCCCAAGCTGACGTACCCACTGCGAAACCAAAAAGCGGCACCAGCGGAACGCTATATGCCAATTCAGCAGCAGCAGCAGCAGCAGCAGCAGCAGCAGCAGAAGCAGCAGCAGCTTTACAGTTACGGTGGAAGACCCGCCATCATGCAGGTTTCCAGCTACGAGATGCTGCCACTTATGGAATCGTCACCGCCATTGGTATCGCAGAACGTGAGAGGCCCGACGCGGATGTTTCGTCCCCCACAAAAGGTGGACTCAATAGTCTTTCAGTGCATGTGCGGACACGACCAGGGCGAGAGAATGTCATCAAGCACCACCACTACCAACACGTCCTCTACCACGTCCCTCACTAACTGCAGCACCAAGACAACTAAGATAAGCAGCAGCAGTCGCAAGAAGAGAAGGAAAAGAAGTACCAGCACAAGCAAAAAGAAGGGAAATAAAAGCAGTACCAGCCGCACCAGCACCAAGACTAGCCAGAAGAACAGCGGAAATAAAACCACTACCAGCAGTACCACCACCAAGACTAGTCAGAAGAAGGACAAAAATAAAAACAGTGCCAGTAGCACCGCTACCAAGGTTAGCCATAAAAAGAAAGAAAAAAACAGTTCCAGCAGTTCTAGCAGCAGCAGCAGCAATGTCGCTACTACAAACAGCTTCTCGACGCTCAAGAAGCAGTGCAAGTCCGGTTTTGTGCAGGTGCAGATACATTGCGACACGTGTGGGCAGCGTAAGACGTACCTGGTCTGCATAGCATGCTACAACCTTCACAAGATAACAACTTGCAAGGATTGCAAGGCCACGGAAGTCGGTGGATATCCTTCGCAAAATGCCCTCGTTCGCGTGGCTGGCCAAATGGCGGCGTACAGGCCAGCACTACCACCTCCATCTCCTCCTCAGCAGACACACCAGCCGCAGCAGCTGCAGCTGCATAGGTTGGACGACATTGTCGGAGCTCTTTCCAATGCTAATGCCACCTTGATTGTGTGTTGTAGCAGCAAGACGATGGTTCCTTTGAACAATGCGGACCGTTTTCACAATCCTGACGCAGCCTGCGGTCAAAGACCCATCATGACTAACTTTGTCCTCGGAATAGTGAACCCAAGTGACATAAAGAAGAATGCTAGCAATTCAACTTCGACAAACTCGACAACTCCGAGCTCAAGCTCTCCGGTCAAGTCGCGAAGCAAGAGCCAACCGCGTTCCAGGAATGCTGAAGAACAGTGCCGTGGGTCATCGCTCTGCACATGCGGCCATGACAGCCGAACCTGCCCAGTGTGCTCTGAGAGGAGGCACATGCACTGATTGATCCCTTTCGTCGAGCCGGACTACGTCGTGAACACAGGCGCCTTCTTCGCGTCCTTTTGAATATGATTACCGCTACGAACTGTCCGTGTCCAAGATACCTATTGTGAGAATGATTAGTTAAATTGTACCTATTGAGACTCTAATCCGGCAGCGAAATTCACTGGTGACTTTAGACGGAAACGTCTGCTGCTTATTAGTGGGAGTTACGAAAACGTAGAAAAAAATCAAAAGAAGGATAAGCATACCCGCGCGTCATCATAACGTTAAAGCTGCTTCGAGTGAATGATATATACATTGCCGTATATGTTTTGCGAATGGGAACTGCACTGTAACTGCATCGAGCCAGCTGATTAATTTAAGCCGATAGCTTGCCTCCAGCATATTTCTTCTCCTTTCTTCCTTTCATATATTTACCCAATATGCAATCGTGGAGAGGGTTGTCTACTTTTTTATTGTAATTTTCACATCCATGTAACAAAAAACTTCGCAAACACTTGTTTGGTCCCATAGCCTAACTGGCTAGTAGAGGGACCAATTGTGTGACATACCTACATACTTGCGCAAGCGGTTACACAGCGACAAAGGACATCAAACTGGATACAATGTTTCAAACAGAAGAGAAGCACTAGACCTCGCAGATGCACGCAGCTCTTGCTTTCAATACTCCTGTTACAGTTGTCGAGGTAACATGCACGAAGACTTAGCTCCGAATGTCTTTATGTAGCATTTTCCCACACGGCGCTCAAAACTGCAGGTCAGTGGAAATATCTCTTAATCTAGGCAGCATGTGCACGCCAAAGCATTAGAAGTTGGTTTGAACTGCACTGACGAAAAACCATTGTAGAGTTCTTACTTTAAGCACAGAAAAATTATCATGGTGCTTTCAAAGGGCACTCTCCATGATGTCGGTGCGTCACGGTACATCAGGAACATACACAGTAATTGAGTTGACTGAGTCGTTTATTTATGCTAAGTACAACCTAGCTTGACAGCCCTCTTATATAGCACTGAAAATGAGAAAACGACAGTAACTTTCATGAATTGTACCTATATGCTGGGCAACTGATGAGTTCTGCACCAGTCTATTTCTTTAGAAGGCCACAAGGCGAAGTGTCCGCTTCCCTTAAATGCACCGAGGTCTCGTTGATGTCCAAGTACATTGGCCGAGCTTCACTAAAGCGGGGCCACAAGATGCCTTCGAATGTGGGAGGCATTCTGAAACAAAACGAAAATAACTTACAGCACAAGAAACACACATTAAACTGATAATGCTTCAGAATGGCAACATCATACAGCCCTCCATATATTAAATGATGCTTGATGGCACCTTTCTCTTTATTAAATGGAAACGCGTCAAAATAACGCTGTAGCTCTTGCACACAATCAGAAAACAGCTATACGAAACGATTTTCGCGAAACGCAAGCAGAACCATCGGCGTTCAGCGTAGCCAAACAGTGTCCCGAGCCCGGTACACCGCATCTCTCGATGGTTTACCAGAGCTGGGTAACGTGGACAAGAGAACTGAAACAATAAAATGTTTCAAGTCTAAGTGTCCACAAAGTATAAACTTGGCAAAGTGGCAGTGGTTGAGGGACGGGGAGGAAAGGGGGGTCACTTTACTAGAACATTTGAAGTTTGTACGTGATATACAGACGCACCAATATTCATAAGGGGATATCGGACCCTCTGTGAAGTTCGGAGACTAAAGAGAAGTTTCGCAAATTATTTTTTTTTGCATAATTCTATAAACATAAAGATTGATATCCTTGCCCAGTTCTCAACATGGTAAGTTGCGATCGATATATATTACGCCACAGAAAGGTGTTGGTCCTGGGTTCCATCCCCGCACAAAGACAAATTTTTCAGGAAGAAGAGTTTTTTTTTAGAAATACCTATGCATTCCTCGTGGCTTGGTTGTCAATTTTCTTAAGTATAATTGATTATTGAATGAAATTATTGTTACAAAATCTAAACAGCAAAAAGTAAGAACTTAAGCATCAAAGAACAGTAATGTAATGTACGTGACACACGCTACCACTTCATTTAGTTAACAAGGTTATCTATACATATAATTAAGGGTGAAAAGAGGTAAATGTAATATAACATATGGAAAGGTCATGACAAGTCATGACAAGTCATGGCGGAATAAGGCGACACAATGGCGTTCGGATCTGTACCCGTTCAGTCTGGCAAACGCTATCTCGGCCTCGGAGCGTTGTCCCTTTGCCGATGGCAATGGACTTCGAAGTTTGTTGTTCAGTTCACTTACTGGGCGCATCATTTGCGTCTAAGGTATAAAGGAGCTATACTTCATCGATGCAACCATCCGCCATCAGCTCGAGATACTCTTGAGGAACTATAAAGGTGTCGTTTGTGTTGGCCTCACTACGTGAACACAAGGTGATCTTCGGTAAGGTGTTCTAGGATGATGTTGTCGTTGTTCCTATATGGTGAAACCACACGGAAGTGTGCAGCAGACGGTGGCGGACGCAAGAGGCGCGAATTCCATACGAACACAAAATAGGCCCCTGAGCGGAGCTGAGACAACGAGGTCAGGAAAGCCGTTATGTTTACCATATAACGGTGGGACTGAAAAGTGTTTATACTAAGTCGTCAAGTTGGGCGCAATTGAAGACAAACGTACTTGCTGCTTGTTTTGACCATGCAAGTTCGGTATCAAAAAGTTGACGTTGAAACCAGTAAGCATGAGTATATCGTTTGCACGATTTAGGATGTCGCGCCTATCTCCAGCGCATTCAAGAAAGATGAAAAGTAAGGGAGAAGAAAAATTGGGGCACCCTTAAGCTTCACCTTCAAGAGTTAAACGCGATAGCAATTTTCTGTTCCTAGAGTGTACTTCAAGCGCTTAATGTATGACATGTTTTAAAACTTGCTATGCGCCCACTACGTGGTCTTAAGGGCGCAGTAGCGTGTGTACGTGTGTACAATTTGTAGTGGGTGACTGGCTCAAAACTATGAAGTCGTAGTTTCATGCTCTGACGCCCGATGGCAATGTACGCATGACCACGCAATGTTACGGCAATATGTCATGTCGTATTGGGAAGCATGTATACAGGACGCGCGTGTTTGGCAAAGTATGAAAGTTACTGTCACTGCATTTCCAAGCAGAGGAAGTTGTTTTCATTGTATTCACAAGTAAAAGTGTGGCTATGTGGTAGAACACTCGCCTGCCAGGCAAACAACTCAGATTCGAACCCCAGACAGACCCGAAATTTTGTGTTTATTTTATTTGCAACTTTCTCGATTCATCGGTCACGCAAAGATGATTTTTCACTCACAACCATGCAACGACGCCGACACCGACGCCGACGCCCGAATTTCTGCGAAACGAGCTCTTTAACGCTGTCGTGTTAAAAAAGGTAAGATGTAAGGCTATAGCATCTCTCTTGATAGTTCCGTCACAAACAACTGCGAAAACTTCGGAAGGTTTGATGCACAATATTGAAGAAACTGTTGTCTGAAACACCTGCCTATCTATCCGTGCGTTTTGTGCTCGTATATGCCTCGCAAGTAGTGCTTTAGCATTGTAATTTTTCAGACATAAATACTACTCTCTTCGGTTCAATTGTTTCGCATTGCCGCAATACTGGTAACAGAAAAACACAACTCGTCTACAGGCGCGGACTGCACCCTCTCCCATCCCGACCCAGTTTAAAATGATATTATTCCACGTCGTTGTACATTTTCATTAGTAAAGAAGATTAGTGTCACTTTTAGAGCTGCAGACGCCAATAGTCACAAAGCTACTGTTCATATGGCTAAGGAGCCACTGTGAAAATATTGAACAGTGCACGTACTTAATTTTTTAACGTCTGATTCATTTTCATACACATGACTAGAATAGCCCCTCAGTATGTTACGATTTTACGCCTATGCTTAAAGAGACACTAAAGAGGAACCATGACTAGGTTCAGATTAACGAACTGCACTCTGAGAACTCTAATGGCATGTGTTTCACTATCATATGTTCAATTATAGCGAAGGAAGTTCTGGTTAAAGTTTATTTTCTTTTAATTTCACGCCGAAATATCCGTGCGTGGCGTAAGAAATTTCAAGATGTATTTTCGGTACTTTCGCGGCATTGGCCCAATAAAATTTTTTGAAACTTCATATGCTGAGTATGTGGCACCCACAGATTATACAATGTACTTCATCTTTATCGATTAGAAGCTACGTACGACAAAGCAGACACCTTCAAATTTTCTTATGTTACCATGGTGTGTTGTACGGGAATCTCAATGTGGCGTCACCGCCCGCATTTTCTTTTGGCGCCTTTCCTCGTTTACTAAGCTCCGTGTCGAGGTATGCAAGAGTGGTGTTTTCTGGATTGTGAAATTGTACTTTACTAACACGCAACAAATCATTTTGCTCCTTAGTGCCCTTTAAAGTTGCTAAAATCAGCCTCGTGAACATTTTGCTGGCCTTTCTAACGCCCAGATTTCAGTGCATTTAATTGTGGTGCTCGGCGTCAATTATGCAATTTAGCCTGCAGTTTAAGCCGTTATTGCTTTCAAAATATCATAATAAAATATATTCTTCGCGCATAAAAACAATCATGCACAAGGTGGATAACTCACCGAGAATTCTTAGTTAGGAAGCTCGTCCACGTATTCGAAGGTGAAATGCAATATTTCACTTAAATTTTGTTTCGAAAGTGTTCAGCGTATGATTGAACTGCGAAGTTAAAACATTGCGTTTCTCTAAGTAAACTATGCGACGCAAGGTCGAAACACAGTGGAGAAAAAAAGACAATTAATGCTCCTGGTTTTTAATTGACGTAAAGTGGGGTATTGTGCTAGTTGGTAATTCATTATTAAACTTCTCAGCGCAAAAATTTCAGACAACAAACCCCAGAGACGAAGACAAGCGCACAGTTTACTCCTGAATGATACGTGTAACTCAGAAAATAAAAAAAAACATTTAGTTTTTACAAAGCTACGCGCACGACGCACGATTAGAGGAGTGCCATGTTACATGTTTCTTCATCTCCTGTTTTGACAAACCTCTTCTGAATACCTCACCTTCGGTGGTGGTATTCATTTTGCTGGGGTGTAATACAAAATACTTTACCACAACAGAATTTACAAAACTTGCGAATCAAAAACCCGTCGGGTAACAGAAATGTGAATTGCGTAACCGGCTTAGCAGCAAGAATGTATGATGCACAACTTCTCAAGTATATTCTGTATTTACATATAGCAGACATTTCCTGATTTGTACGTAACGCTCGTACACATCGTTTTAGCTATGACTCTGAGATTACGTAAGCTATGAAATTCAATAGAGCTGAATAGCTGAGGCCTCCAAGCAGCGGTGCAAACCACTGCTTCCAAATTAAGTGCAACGTCAGAAATGTGTCAACGCAGCATTGAACCTTCGTGGTGAAACAATTTGAGCATGAATGCACCCTTCCGAATTTACTCACCCTCGCTTGGCGAACGTGGCCCAGGCGTTCATGATGTTCAGGCTAAAGGTCCGGTCTGACTCTTCGAACTTGCCGGGGAACCTCATGGGCAGTCCGAACACAAGCGTCGTCTCAGGTGCGTGGTCAGAGTCCGTGCGGAAGTAACTGTCCACGTCTTCGTCGACGTAGTCAAGAACGTAGTAGTGCACGGTCAGACCGGCGTTGGACAGTTTGCGGGCGAGCGTAAACGAGGGACAGCCGGCGGCAACGTCGACGGCACCGCCTTCCACCAGTTCCGCCAGTGTCCTGGCGTCGTCGCAAACGCTGGTCGCTCGCTTGAGGTAGTGGTCGGCTACATCGGTTGCGACGGGTCGCCTGTATCCTTGCGCACTCAACAGAACGTGTAGTGCTACCCGCGCGTCTTCATTGGTCATATTGTTCTGTTGCTTGAGCGCCTCGAAGCGGCCTTCGAAGACCTGGGAAACCAACCTTTTGCCTTCTGCTCGGTTGTGGCCCATGAGGACCTGGGCGCTCGTGAATCCCCTCAGGTCGTGAATAAGATCTGGGTTATGCGGCAAGAACTCGGTTCCGTGCGTGGGCGCAGGGGCCTCAATTCCGTGGTGTCGGAGTTCGATCTGCGCGAGCAAGACCTCGTGCGCCGGACGGCTCTTGATGCATTCGATGACGTCGTCCGGGTGCGAGACGATCGAGTGGCCCGCCTTAGAGCAGCCCACCTCGACGGCCAAGGCATCGGCCTTCAACAAACTCCTGCCCGTGCTCTCCGCCGCTTTGGCGGCGTGCGCAGTTCCCCCTTGCATGATCACTCTTTGAAAGAGTCCTCGTGACCAAGGAGATAGCATCAGAAGTCGAATGGCTGCTATTCCGGACCCTTCACCAAAGAGAGTCACTAGCGATGCGTTTCCGTTGAACGCAGCTATGTTCGTCTTAATCCAGGACAATGCGAGCACTTGATCGAACAGACCCGCATTACCAGACGCGTTGCCGTGGACCGCGTTGAGGAAGCCGAAGAAGCCGAGTCTATAGTTGAACGACACGACGACCACATTCTGCGTCGCGGCGAGCACAGAGCCGTCGAATGCGGGGCTGTCCGAAGAGCCAGCCTTGAAGTTGCCGCCGTGGATCCACACCATTACGGGCTTGGTGCTATTGTCATTAACGGGTGACCACACATTAAGGTAGAGGCAGTCCTCGCTCATACCAGGACCTTCAGCGTAGTGCTCAGCAGTTGCATCCAGAACGATCTCTTGCATGCAGCGCTTACCGAAAGTCCTTGTCCATCGCGGAACGGACCAGGAGACCTTTGGCGACGGTTTTCGAAAGCGCAGGTCACCCAACGGTGGCGACGCATAAGGTATTCCGAGGAAAGCGTTCACTTTCTCGCCGTACACGTTGAGCCGGAGTCCCTTGACGTCCCCGCTTCTTGTTCGCACAACGGGAGGCGTCAATGCGTGCGCGACGCTAACCAGGAGGATCACGCCAGCGAAGCCAGAGCCGCGCATTATCTCGGTGTCAGTGGTTCTTCACCGGGGCTGTAACCGAGCGAAGTGTTAGAAATCATCACGAGAAAGTTCTCAGGCAACAACGAGCCACTTTTTCGAGCACTTTTTGAGAACGAAGACTTGAGCATTACAAACAAAGCGCGCAATGGTTATGCGGGAATAAACAATTTGAGGTGTTCCAGAATTCAGCCTCCAATTTTTTAATTTAATCTCAGCGCGCTAAGGCTAAAGCAAAAAACAAGCGAAGAGGTAGTGAATGGATAAGTTGAATCTGACACGTGGAAAAAAATGTTTAATGTTCATTTAGACTTATCGAAGGAGTTGACACAAATTTAACGATTTGGCTTTCTATTGAGACATGTTTCTCGCTTTACACTTCACAAAATTAATACATTAAGAGAAAATATTAAACTTTGTTAATCGAATGAATGATGCACTGTTGTGGCGTAAGGCACGAGACCGTGGTTTCGATACTGGGGTGCGGCAATTATAAGGTACAGGCAGTACATGAACCCAAGGTAATAAAACTTAATACGAAGCACTCAAAGACCTTATTTTAAGACAAAAAGATATGCGAAGATCGATGTTATTTTTGTTCTTGCAGTAAAAAGTAACGTCCTCATTTGTTTCGGGTAGAGGTGAGTTTCGATGCCATCATAAACAGCAATTCTTCACGGAAAAAAAAATAATAAGTGCTTTAGCGAGAAACCTCATAACAAGCCGTCACACATTTGTGTAGTATCTACTACAAATAATTCATTGTACAGTCAATGTCAAAGGTTCACGAAACACAGGGTCTACCAAAAGCTGAATTTCCGCGAAGTTCGGACACGTTTTCTCGAATTCTGGATCGTACTTGGTGACTGTTCGTGTGCAATACGCGGTTCAAGGCATTCAGTTAGAACTGCCCTGTTTTTTAAATGAGAGAAATTCATATAGATGCTGAGGTACAGACGGAATCGCGCTTGCGTGTAGCGCCTAAGCGGCTGCACGTTGCTTCTGTAATCTGCAGAAATACCCATATACAAGCGCCATAATGGTACCTAACATAGCCAAACCGCATGCGGGGTCCTTGCAATATAAAGTCAAGCGTGAACAGAAGCTTGTATTGCTAACGTGAGGAAGCAGGTGCGTGCTCTGCTGCTCTGGACAAGTATACGGGTATCCACAGATTTCATATTGACACCTATAGGCTCATTTGACGACTGCATAAATGTACGAGCTCACTAATTTCTTTTCTGTCTATGTTCACTTGTATGATACTACCTATATGTTTTTTTCTGTTTTTTTTTTGACGGTACATAACTTAGGTATCGGTCACCTTAAATGTAATAAAATGCATATATTCTTTCAGTCAGTGTATGGATTATTAGTATTTAGAATTAAATAGCTACAGTGTAGTTATATACTGCTGTAATTATCAATGCAACTTATGATGCTACTGCTGTTGAAAAGTACGTAATGTGTAACATGCTTGCCGCTATGGTTTCTTTTTTTTCGCGTAGTATGTACGCATTCTTTCATCTTTGTATCCCCACTCCTGCATTACAGCCTTTTTAGACTAGCAGTGTTTTGCAAATAAATAAATAAATAAATAAATAAATAAATAAATAAATAAATAAATAAAGTGTGATTCCATCCGTAAACCTCCGATACTCAAAGCACCCTGCTTGGAAAAAGGTTAATATGAAATCGCGAACAGTCTCACTATTGGAAAGTGCTACGACGTAATCTTGACGCCATAGCGGAATGCTAGGCGTCGTATAGCGTTTTCATGCTTGAAAAAGCGATCTCACTTTACCGCACGAGATTGACTTTACAGCATGAAAAGAGGGCCAAGTTTTGTTCTACATGATGAAGGGTAAGGCGCAATAGTTGTCAGGATTGTTCCAAAATCACAATGCCCTGGAATAGCCACCACACAGACACATGAATATGCAAAATGAATACCTGCCATCGGTGGTCTAAATCAATCGGCTGCTGACCCGCTGCAGGTTGCGGGATCGAATCTCGGCCGTGGCGGCCACATTTTCGATGATAGCGAAAATGACTGAGGCCTGTGTGCTTAGATTTCGGGGCACTTAAAGAATACGCCAGGTGGTCGAAGTAAGTTTCCGGATCCCTCCACTACACTACGGCGTCTCTCATAATCACATGGTCCATGGTTTCGGGACGTTAAACGTACCCGACAATTATTATTACGCACAACGAATGTTTGACCCACCCCACCATTTCTGGCCACACCTCTGCTCACGAGACACGGCTTGAGTGCTGCGGTTCACCCCTTGACAATGTTGCACCTCGAACAAAGCACGGAATGGAAGCTTACCCAATGGAGGAGCTCGTCGAAGTGGACGTTTAAAGAAAAAAAGGGGGGGGCCAGAACGGGAACAATGTTGTCGCTATCTCGCTCGGAACAAGCACAAAGCCATCGAGACGGCAACTTGCGACACAAACACCGATATCTGCCCACCGATAAACAGGAGAGACCGATTTCCAGGCCAGGCACCATGTTCACTTATCAAGCTGACGCGTACACACGTCATCACCCAGGCTTCTATGGGATGACACACGTGGAATCATTCCGGCATGCGTATATTTAGCCTATTGCGCACTTGAATTGTTCTCAGCAACGATGCAGGGGCGTAGCCAAGTGGGTAATTAAAGGGTGGGGTTCCCCTGCCCCCCGGAATTCGCAATCGTCACAGCGTATATATACATGCGCACATACAAACGCGCGCGCGCGAACAGTAGATAAATTCTGAGTGGAGAGCTCCCCCCCTCCCCCCCTTCACTTCGAAAGAAATTTCTGGCAACGCCACTGCAATGAGATGTTCTGAACAGCGTTTCAGCGTTCAGCGGAGAAATCAACGGTGAAATTTGCGAACTTTATCGCACGCACTAGAGAGCTGCACTTTGGCTGTATTCTAAATTGACTTGAGATAACCATGCACTGCTTTCTTGCTGGCGTGAAAAAGGTACAAAGTACGATTACATAGGAGTACAAGCTAAACTAGATCTAAACATATTGATGCATGGTTGTTGCTTTTCTTCTTCAGTCGCGAAGGAACGTAACTTCGTGGTTATACGAAAGCCTTTGTGTGCATGGCTTGGCGGGACACATGCAGAGCGGACGAACCCTCGCGGAGCGTATAGTAAAGAATTTCTCCTGTAGCCTATATAGCTTAAATCCTTATAAATGATTTTTAGGGATCTCGAATTCCACCGTGCCGGCAACTGGGCATGCACATTCATTCCTCTTGTTAGCTTTCCCCTCTCGGCACTTTGTGTTGAATTACGTGATTACAGTGAGAGTTCTCACTTGGCAGCTCTAAATGGATTTTCATAAACGATGCCTATGTAGCAAAAAAAAAAAAACGTTGCGGTGCAGACAAACGGAACTAGATCATCTGGCACCGTTACGTGGCCTTTACTAATGGTAAATGGTAAATTTTACTAATGGTAATCGTTGTGCGTAGAGATGTTCGTTGTGCGTAGAGATGCCTCGGTGGATCAGAGGCTATAGGGTGCTCGGCTGTAGGCCAGAAGGTTGCGGGTTCGATCCCGGCTAGCATTTAGATGTAGGCGACATGGTATAGAGGCCCTTGTACAGTGCGATCTCAGTGCACGTCAGAGAACACCAGGCGGTGAAAATTGCCAGAGCCCTCTACTACGGCGTCTCTAATGTTTGGTTTGGGCACGTTAAACTTCACATATCTTCGTTACTGTCTAAAGACCCACGTTACAGATACAATTATGGTGGTGGCGAAAATGATTGAGCCTCACGTGCTCGATTATAGGTGCACGCACGTATAAGACGGACCGACAACTGCAGGCCAGAATGTGTGCTTTCATACCGATGGAAATAAAAAGAGCGGAAATCACAGTAACAGCTTCAAACAATATTTTCGCAGCTGAGTTGGACTTATATCTTTAAATCGCATTAAAAGTTACCAAACACTGCTATGTCGCGCAGCCCAGCGGAAGAGCGTTGAAGTTGGATGATGGGGTCGTTCACTTTGGTGTAAGTTATATATCGTCAGTTGTTTTTATGCGTTCCATAATTAGCACTAAAAATAAGAATATGTATATTATTATCCATTTGTGCTTGATTTCGCGCTGCTTACGAGGTAAAAAAGAACGCTGAGTCACGAAGCATGCGGGCGGAATGCACGCTTACCACGCGAATGCAGGGGACCTATAGTGTATTTCGCGAAGATAAAAAGGCCTTTCATTGTTTCAAATGAAGCCGTTGCGAGTCTGTGCCCATGGTGTCTATTTCTTCCAGGTCCGTGTGTGAGTTGCGCAAAAGACAGTCACGTTTTCATTATGACTGTATATAACAACTAGCCCACCTACCAAGCATATACTGCAATCATATCGCATACTTTTGGGAGGTAAAACCCCAGCAATGACTACTAATATGCTCATGCTAATGGTAATACTCTTGGCAGCGTGCCGTCGCAAGGGAGGTAGAGAGGATGTCATTCTATGCGTGGATCTTTGGTGGCGGCACTCTGCTGCCAACCTGTAGGTCACGTGTTCGATCCTGGCTGTGGCGGTCGCATTACTATGGAATGTGGTATAGAGGCCCATGTTCTGTGAGATGCCACTTCACATTAAAGAACACCGTGTGCTCAAAACTTTCAGAGTTTTCCTACTACGGGATCTCTTCTAGCGAGACCATGGTTTTGGAACGTAACACTGCATATATTATTATTATTATTATTATTATTATTATTATTATTATTATTATTATTATTATTATTATTATTATTATTATTATTATTATTATTATTATTACTATTTCTGTGCCCAACTGAGGTGCCAGCGCATGCGAAAGGCAGAAAAGGGCGTGAGCTGTTCATAAAAAAGAAAAGCTATGTTTATAAACTATTGACGACAATAAACGTACTACTGAAGGTTATCCCTGGCATCTGACGTTACCTACCGACCATATCGCGTGCGCCCTGCACAAATTTAAAACAATACCATACCTGCGAGAAAGCTCGAGAATGAGTATTACGTGGAACGTCAGTAGGTGGCCGACGTGTTCCTTTCAAAACTGTCTAATAAAAATGCTTGATGATTCGAAGTTGCAGTGTACGCGAAAAGAAAGTGTATCGATCTTTGCGCTAACAGGATTGCCTATAGGTCTTGTAATAAAGCTTCAGTTGGTAGTGCTGCACTTGCCTGTCCTTTTCTTTCCTTTCAGTGTTTCTGTCCGTTTTTTGCGCAGTCCACTATGAGTGGAAGGATAAAAGAATTTGCATTCGCGGGTCCTCCGTTGTGTGAAAAGGCGGCTGACGACATTCAGACTCCCTGTCCTTTACTTTCTCTGCATGCTCCTTTTGTACGCTGTCGAGCACGTATGTCGCCATTATTAAGTAGCACTTGCATGCATAAATCGTACAGAATGCCTCACGAAAAAAAAAGCACATTGCGTTCTGCGTTCGTAACCATGCACACATATAGCGTTGTCGTGCCGTGGTTAAGGTTGGCTGCTTCCCGTCATGGCGGGTCGAAGAACCAGACAGTCTGCTTGCACCACTTCGCGTGCAAGTGTCTAATGCAATCGACGCAAACGTAGCCTCAATGGTGACGCACGAAGCGAAATTTTCACTGCAGGCTTTTCGAGTTATACGTCTGACCTTTCGAGACACCGTTGTGCAGCCACTCGCTGAAGTCGCCGCGCTGTTGGCACAGTATACCTGCGCCGAATCTGCGCACACATCAGTGGGAGCAGTGGCGTAGCCAGGAGGATGGTTTCGGGAGTGACCACCCCCTCCCTTTGCATTTTTTATTTGTGGGGTTTAGCGTCCCAAAACCACCATATGATTATGAGAGACGCCGTTGTGGAGGGCTCCGGAAATTTAGACTACCTGGGGTTCTTTAACATGCATCTAAATCTGAGCACACGGGCCTACAACATTTCCGCCTCCATCGGAAATTCAGCAGCCGCAGCCGGGATTCGATTCCGCTACCTGCGGGTCAGCAGCCGAGTACCTTAGCCACTAGACCACCACGGCGGGTCCTTTGCATTTTTTACATTTTTATGTAAATATATATATACACCCACACCTTCTTCTCACCTGCAAAAAAAAAAGAAAAAAAATTGTTGATCCTGCGTACAGTGGGAATCGATGATATGCGATGCACGAATGAGGAAGGTTGAATGGTCACATTAAAATCAGCACAACGTTACGAGACGGACTTAAATATGCCGTACATGCCTTTCATGTCATGATTATTATCACTGCACCTGGGATTGGTGCTCAGTCATCCAATCACGTCACGTAACACAAAATTTTCTATATGTGAAGCTAGCGAAACGACCGCGAGCGCGTCATGAGCGTGGCATGTACTAATGTCCTTAAATGACACGTATTTCATGATGACCATGCTTCCACCGGTCATATACCACAACCGTGCCGCAAGGAAGCGAACGACTGTAGCCGCCACATTGGCCGTTTAAGAGTGTTATCAAATGCCTCTTGCGAGCACAGTTGTTAAGTGCCCACTGTACGCCAACATAGTACTCCTTTTGAGAATTAGCGAAGGGTCCACTACGTGTCCTTAGCGCAACACGCGAACCTACGCAGCTGTTCGCTTAGTTGGTGCTTCTGCTTCTGACGATGATTGAATATGTTTGAGCGCTATTGTAATGGGTGGGCCTTTAAAACACCCACTCGTTGCTAAATTCACATTGTTTGACGCCTGGCACGATTCTACGCAATATGACAGTCATATAGTGTTTTTTAAGCAGTTTCAAACAACGCATGGCTCTGTGGTAGTTAATAATTATTTTATTTGAATCTTTTTCAATTTATTGGTCACAGACAAAAATAATGATTTTTCGTTCACAACCAACGATTACGACAGCGGATTTTCTAACGCTCTAACGTGCTCTAACGCTATTGTGTTAAGAGGGTATGGTAGAGTGAACCCCCCCAAAAAATCGAATTTGCAATTTTGACACCTAAAAATTCACTGTACTTTGAAGAACAAACCTGTGGAAGACCGACGTCGAGCGGCCGCTCCAAGTGGTTTAAATGCCGCGCCGAAGTGCGCCACGCGCCCTCTGGCGTAAGCAGTATGTGCACTTAAAACTTCGTTTTTTCTCATACTGCGTTTTCTGTCATTTTTTTTCAACTTTAATGTACCTTTTCTCGAAGAGTGCTGAATTGATTTCGATTAAACTATGTATGTGTGAGCCAGAACAAGTTAGAAACAGTATGAAGTAAAAAAAAAAACAGGAATTGCATAAAAAGTGAGCTGTAAAATATTGCACAACAATACGACCCTCCGCGGCGTTGTGCAATCAGAATACTTTTCTTTCCACAAAGACTTCATAAAAAAGAATGTAACATTTTTTTTTTA